AGGAAACTAGGTCAGGTCAACCACGCTATCTTGAGAGAGAGTCAGTTCAGCCGTCGTATGACAAGTGACTCAGTCAGTCTATAACTGATATGCGAAAAGATCTCCTTAGGATGCGCACGTCACCACCTCCTCGAATTTGTCTCACCTGTTATGAGTAGGACGCCAGAATCTGTTATAAAGCGTCTATAAATTATAAACCCCACCTACATAAGGGGGACATCTCTCACATCTCACTCATATCTGAGCACTCTACACTTTGAGCAATAAAATACTATGTTCATCCTGACCTTTGACAGTGAAGTAGGTCACCTTGACCGAACCATTTAAATTGTATTTTACTTGTGATTGACTCTCATCATTACTGCATTTAATACTTAACAAGTGGTGCATAAACACATTTTGTGCATTATCAGATTGTATGCACCCAAGGCAACTTGAAATCATTACGTGCAGTCGAGATAAATCTTGGAGAGCAAAATATAACAAGAACATCATCAAGTTCCATGGATTATATGTCATTTGAGGGTTGTTTGAGATAGTACTAAGTGAAGTAATGTCATGTCTTTAAATTGTGAAGATAACGTTGTCATGATCATTGTATTGACTGTGATTCGGTCTTAAAGATCATCAGATCAGATTTCTTGCAAGTGGTAACAAAGGGGAGATAACTTTTCCTTTTGAATTGATTGTGGTTTCCATTGATATCGCCAGAAGTGCAGAATTTTTGACATGGCCGGGAATATAGTAGGGGAATGAGATGCATTCCTATCGACTTGGAATCACAAAAGGTAGTTCTATAAATAGCATTTCGAAACTCGAAGAAAATCACAGTCCAAAAACGTCAAAGAAAAATGGTTCTCCAATCTGAGGTCTATCCCGGTTACCCTTACCCAAAGCAGGGCTATTCTGTGCAACAGCAGGGGTACTACTCCACCAATGACAACTACAGCACCCCTCTTCTGGGCATGCCGGTGATGACCAACCCAATTGCCACCACCCCTATGTACCCCAGCCACCACATGGTAGCTGGTGGAGGCTATGCTCAGCAGCATGATGACTGGTATGGCAAAAACAGGCCCCAAAATGGCATGCACAACACAACTGACTTCTACTACAGCCGTGGCTCACAGGGCCAGATGTTGCCTTATAACTGCAACGACGGTTATGCTTCCTCCGGTGGCAAACACAGCAACACCACGGGGAACACTGGGTACACGGCAAACTATGCACAACATGTTCCCATGGGAACGTACCCAAACTATGCGCAACATGTTCCCATGGGAATAGAGGCAGAGTGGAACCTTAAAGGGGTGGATGACTGAAGAGACATCCCCATGAGAATGATGCATAATATAGGAAGTCTGCTTAATGTAAGGGGTTTGGCATTAGCTAAAGTACCATCCTAAGTAATGTTTTTTTTTTTTTTTGGATCAAATCCTAAGTAATGTTCAAGATGTGTACTATATACTGAATGTTCAAGATATGTACCATATGGCCTATTAGATTTTAACTATAAATCAGTACTCAAGAACTGGACGCAATGTCGGGGAGACCACAAATTACATATAAGGATTGTCTTCATCCAAAAGAGGTCACTCTTAGTGACATATGCAGATGCTCTTAGAAACCCACTAAAAGGAAAGTATGAAATTTTTTTTTTTAAAGAATAATGTTACATAGACTTAAAAATTAGATTTAATAATTACAATCATTGAACAAGTAATGAGTCCCAAAAAATGCTGAGACTCACAGTAAAATTAATAGTTGTAATTATCAAATTTACTTATTAAGTTTAGATTTTAAATTCATATAACATTGCTCTTTTTTTAAAGTAGCAAAAATCGTTTCAACTATGCTTTTTTTGGACTCGGAGTTGTAAAGCAAACCTCATATGGACGCAACATTTATTAAGCATGCATAAGGCTCATAGTTGAGGCGAACTTTGCGAGAACCAATTGAACTGATTCAACTCATTTTACTAAATGAGCTTAAAAAATTATTCAATTTAAACGAGTTCGAGTAGTTTAACTATTTTACTGATGAATGAGTCGAGTCTCTAGGCTTTGGCTTATTTAAAATATAAGTTGAGTCCAAAATAAATCGAACTCAAGTAACTCAGTTCAATTATCAACCATAAGCATGTATGTCAAATAAAACTTGATTGTAACAAATAATGCTAAACATGATGTGCAGCCGAGAGTATCGTGGAGAGTAACAAATAACAAGAACATCATCAAGTTTCATGAGTTATACCATTTGAGAGTTGATTGAGATTGTACTAAGTAAAGTAAAATACCATTTTTGGGTTTAAATTACAATTTTTTTGGTGAAAAAACTTTTTTTTTTTGGGTGAAGATTATAAATTTTAGGTGAAAATACCGCTTTAAGGTTAAATTATCACTTTTGGGCTTTAAATTATTGTTTTTTGGGTGAAAGTATGACTTTGGAGCGAGAATACCACTTTTTAGATGAAAATATTACAAATTATCACTTTTTTGGGAGAAAAGATCATTTTTAGGATTAAATTACCACTTATGTGTTAAAGTACTATTTTTTTGGGTGAAATTACTACTTTTGGGGTCAATTTTTTATTTTTTGGATAAAAATATCATTTTTTTTGCTTTAAATTTTCACTTTTTGTGCTAAAATATCACTTTTTGGGTGAAAAAACACCATTTTTATGGTTTAATTACCAATTTTGAGTTTTGCAATTGTTGGCCAAAAATACCCTTTTTTAGGTGAAAATATCACTTTTTGAGTTAAATTACCACTTTTTTTGTGCAAATATTATTTTTTGGAGTGACAATACCACTTTTTGGTGAAAATTTTTATTTTTTTGGTGAAAATACCACTTTTGGGTTAAATTATCATTTTTTGGTGAAAATTGCATTTTTTTTGGATTAAATTACCATTTCTTGGGTAAAAATACCACTTTTTTTGTTAAGTTATTACTTTTGGATATAAAATACCATTTTTATGTGAAAATATAACTTTTTGGATAAATTACCACTTTTGGGTAAAAATACAATTTTTTTGTACTAAAATATCACTTTTTGAGTGAAATTTTTACTCTTTGGATGAAAAATACCTCTTTTGGAGTTAGATTATCACTTTTTGAATGAATTTTTTTTTTTAAGGTTAGATTATCACTTGTTTGTTAAAAATATCACTTTTTTTGGTAAAATTACTATTTTTTGAATAAAAATATTACTTTTTAGTTGAAAATACAAATTTTAAATTAAAAATATCATTTCTTTTAGACAAAAATATCGCCTTTTTAAGTTAAATTATCACTTTTGGGGGTTAATGATTCGTTTGTTGCCCGGGGTTCCGGGCTTGTTGAGTTTTTTTTTACCTTAGTAACGGGGTACCTTGGATAACTTTGTCTGCCTCTACCTTTCCAACAGCTATTGGGTACAGTTTAAAAACACCAAAGTGTCGATCGGCGTCACTTTGTTATTGAGATTTAATTTATTAATTTAATTTATTAATCTAATATACTATGACATTTAGATTGATTATAAAATTCATCAAATATTAAAATTTTGTGTTAATCTAATGATTTTACTGAATTTACATCATTATATCAACAAATTAAATTAAATTTTTAGGTCCAAATAAAATTACTCTAAATTTTAACTATAAATCAGTACTCAAGAACTGGATTCAATGTCTAGGAGACTACTTGTGACGTGGGGATTGTCATCATCCAAAAGAGGTCACTCTTGGTCACATATGCAGATGCTCTGAAAAACCCACTAAAAGGAAAGTTCGAAAAGTTTTTTTTGCAGTAGCCCGAAAATCGTTCCAAGTATGCATCTTTTGGACTCGTAGTTGTAAAGCAAATCTTAAATGGACTTAACATTGACTAAGCACGTGCATCAGCTGAAACTTGATTGTATGCAGCCAAGAGGAATTGAAATCATGACATGCAGCCGAGATAATTTTGGTGAGTAAAATATAATTCATGAATTATATACCATTTGAGGTAAAGAGCAAGAGTTTATCGTTGCTAATGCCCTCTCCCCCAAATTCTATTGGGCTTGGGGCATGGGGGCAAATGATAGCCCGGTCTAAACTAGGTTTAGAATTATAGATAAAATCCAGAATCACAAATCAGACCCAATTTAAAAATGCATGTCAAGTTCACAACAGAAGAAGAAAAGTAGATCAAGTCAACTGCGCTATTTTGAAACAGAGTCAGCTTAGCTGTCGTATGACGAGTGACTCAGTCTACAACTGACATGCGAAGACATCTCCTTAAGATACGCACGTCACCACCTCCTCAATATTGTCTCCCCTGTTATGAGTAGGGTGCCAAAATCTGTTATGAAGCGCCTATAAATTATAAGCTCCACTACACAAGGGAGACATCTCTCACATCTCACTCATATTTGAGCACTCTACACTTTGAGTAATAAATGACTCTCTCATCTTAACCCTTGACAGTGGAGTAGATCACTTGGACCAAATCACTTAAATTGTATTTTATTTGTAATTGGCACTTATCATTTATTATTGCATTCAATACTTAACAAGTTGAGCATAAACATGTTTTGTGCATTATCAGATTGCATGCATCCAAGACGACATGAAATCATGACGTGCAGCCGAGATAATCTTGGAGAGCAAAATATAACAAGAACGCCGTCAAGTTCCATGGATTATATGCCATTTGAGGGTTGTTTGAGGTAGTACTAAGTGAAGTAATGTCATGTCTTTAAATTGTGAAGATAACGTTGTCATGATCATTTTATTGACTGTGATTCGGTCTTAAAGATCATCAGTTCAGATTTCTTGCAAGTGGTAATAAAGGGGAGATAACTTTTCCTTTTGAATTGATTCCATTGATATCGCCAGAAGTGCAGAATTTTCGACGTGGCCGGGAATATCGTAGGGGAATGAGATGCATTCCTATCGACTTGGAATCACAAAAGGTAGTTCTATAAATAGCATTTCGAAACTCGAAGAAAATCACAGTCCAAAAACGTCAAAGAAAAATGGTTCTCCAATCTGAGGTCTATCCCGGTTACCCTTTCCCACAGCAGGGCTATTCTGTGCAACCGCAGGGGTACTACTCCACCAATGACTACTACAGCACCCCTCTTCTGGGCATGCCGGTGATGACCAACCCAAGTGCCCCCACCCCTAAGTACCCCAGGCACCAAATGGTAGCTGGTGGAGGCTATGCTCAGCAGCATCATGACTGGTATGGCGAAAAAAGGCCCCAAAATGGCATGCACGACACAACTGACTTCTACTACAGCCAGGGCTCACAGGGCCAGATGTTGCCTTATAACAGCAACGACGGTTATGATTCCTCCGGTGGCAAACACAGCAACACCACGGGGATCACTGGGTACACGGCAAACTATGCACAACATGTTCCCATGGGAACGTACCCAAACTATGCGCAACATGTTCCCATGGGAATAGAGGCAATGAAATATGAGTACTCAAGTTGGGGTAACGAGCGTGAACGCTTCCCATTTTACTATCAGAATTCCTACAGCCAGCAAAATGGCTACCCCAAGGCAGAGTGGAACCCTAAAGGGGTGGATGACTAAAGAGACATTCCCATGAGACTGATGCATAATATAGGATGTCTGCTTAATGTAAGAGGTTTGGCATTAGCTAAAGTACCATCCTAAGTAATGTTTTTTTTTTTTTTTGGATCAAATCCTAAGTAATGGTCAAGATGTGTACTATCTACTGAATGTTCAAGATATGTACCATATGGCCTATTAGATTTTAACTATAAATCAGAACTCAAGAACTGGATGCGTTGTCTGGGAGACCACTAATTACATATAAGGATTGTCATCATCCAAAAGAGGTCACTCTTAGTGACATGCAGATGCTCTTAGAAACCCACTAAAAGGAAAGTATGAAATTTTTTTTTTTAAAGAATAACGCTACATGGACTTAAAAATTAAATTTAATAATTACAATCATTGAACAAGTAATGAGTCCCAAAAAATGCTGAGACTCACAGTAAAATTAATAGTTGTAATTATCAAATTTACTTATTAAGCTTAAATTTTAAATTCATATAACATTGCTCTTTTTTTAAAGTAGCAAAAATCGTTTCAACTATGCTTTTTTTGGACTCGGAGTTGTAAAGCAAACCTCATATGGACGCAACATTTATTAAGCATGCATAAGGCTCATAATTGAGGCGAACTTTGCGAGAACAAATTGAACTGATTCAACTCATTTTACTAAATGAGCTTAAAAAATTGTTCAATTTAAACGAGTTCGAGTAGTTTAACAATTTTACTGATGAATGAGTCGAGCCTCTAGGCTTTGGCTCATTTAAAATATAAACTGAGTCCAAAATAAATCGAACTCAAGTAACTCAGTTCAATTATCAACCATAAGCTTGTATGTCAAATAAAACTTGATTGTAACAAATAATGCCAAACATGATGTGCAGCCGAGAGTATCTTGGAGAGTAACAAATAACCAGAACATCATCAAGATTCATGAGTTATACCATTTGAGAGTTGATTGAGATTGTACTAAGTAAAGTAAAATACCATTTTTGGGTTTAAATTACAATTTTTTTGGTGAAAAAACTTTTTTTTTTTGGGTGAAGATTATAAATTTTAGGTGAAAATACCGCTTTAAGGTTAAATTATGACTTTTGGGCCTTAAATTATTGTTGGAGCGAGAATACCACTTTTTGGATGAAAATATTACTTTTTGGTTAAATTATCACTTTTTTGGGAGAAAAGATCATTTTTAGGATTAAATTACCACTTATGTGTTAAAGTACTATTTTTTTTGGGTGAAATTACTACTTTTGGGGTGAATTTTTTATTTTTTGGATAGAAATATCATTTTTTTGCTTTAAATTTTCACTTTTTGTGCTAAAATATCACTTTTTGGGTGAAAAAACACCATTTTTATGGTTTAATTACCAATTTTTGAGTTTTGCAATTTTTGGCCAAAAATACCCTTTTTTAGGTGAAAATATCACTTTTTGAGTTAAATTACCCCTTTTTTTGTGCAAATATTATTTTTTGGAGTGACAATACCACTTTTTGGTGAAAATTTTTATTTTTTTGGTGAAAATACCACTTTTGGGTTAAATTATCATTTTTTGGTGAAAATTGCATTTTTTTTGGATTAAATTACCATTTCTTGGGTAAAAATACCACTTTTTTTGTTAAATTATTACTTTTGGATATAAAATACCATTTTTATGTGAAAATATAACTTTTTGGGTAAAAATACAATTTTTTTGTACTAAAATATCACTTTTTGAGTGAAATTTTTACTTTGGATGAAAAATACCTCTTTTGGAGTTAGATTATCACTTTTTGAATGAATTTTTTTTTTTAAGGTTAGATTATCACTTGTTTGTTAAAAATATCACTTTTTTGGTAAAATTACTATTTTTTGAATAAAAATATTACTTTTTAGTTGAAAATACAAATTTTAAATTAAAAATATCATTTCTTTTAGATGAAAATATCGCCTTTTTAAGTTAAATTATCACTTTTGGGGGTTAATGATTCGTTTGTTGCCCGGGGTTCCGGGCTTGTTGAGTTTTTTTTACCTTAGTAATGGGGTACCGTGGATAACTTTGTCTGCCTCTACCTTTCCAACAGCTATTGGGTACAGTTTAAAAACACCAAAGTGTCGATCCGTGTTACTTTGTTATTGGGACTTAATTTATTAATTTAATTTATTAATCTAATATACTATGACATTTAGATTGATTATAAAATTCTTCAAACATTAAAATTTTGTGTTAATCTAAAGATTCTATTGAATTTATATCATTATGTTAACAAATTAAATTAAATTTTTAAGTCCAAATAAAATTACTCTAAATTTTAACTACAAATCAGTACTCAAGAACTGGATTCAATGTCTAGAAGACTACTTGTGACGTGGGGATTGTCATCATCCAAAAGAGGTCACTCTTAGTCACATATGCAGATGCTCTGAAAAACCCACTAAAAGGAAAGTTCGAAAAGTTTTTTTTGCAGTAGCCCGAAAATCGTTCCAAGTATGCATCTTTTGGACTCGTAGTTGTAAAGCAAATCTTAAATGGACTTAACATTGACTAAGCACGTGCATCAGCTGAAACTTGATTGTATGCAGCCAAGAGGAATTGAAATCATGACATGCAGCCGAGATAATTTTGGTGAGTAAAATATAATTCATGAATTATATACCATTTGAGGTAAAGAGCAAGAGTTTATCGTTGTTAATGCCCTCTCCCCCAAATTTTATTGGGCTCGGGGCATGGGGGCAAATGATAGCCCGGTCCAAACTAGGTTTAGAATTATAGACAAAGTCCAAAATCACAAATCAGACCCAATTTAAAAATGCATGTCAAGTTCACAACAGAAGGAGGAAAGTAGATCAAGTCAACTGCACTATTTTGAAACAGAGTCAGCTTAGCTGTCGTATGACGAGTGACTCAGTCTACAACTGACATGCGAAGACATCTCCTTAGGATACGCACGTCACCACCTCCTCAATATTGTCTCCCCTGTTATGAGTAGGGTGCCAAAATCTGTTATGAAACGTCTATAAATTATAAGCTCCACCTACACAAGGGGGACATCTCTCACATCTCACTCATATTTGAACACTCTACACTTTGAGTAATAAATGACTCTTTCATCCTAACCCTTGACAGTGGAGTAGTTCACTTTGACCGAATCACTTAAATTGTATTTTATTTGTAATTGACACTTATCATTTATTATTGCATTCAATACTTAACAAGTTGAGCATAAACATGTTTTGTGCATTATCAGATTGCATGCATCCAAGACGACATGAAATCATGACGTGCAGCCGAGATAATCTTGGAGAGCAAAATATAACAAGAACGCCGTCAAGTTCCATGGATTATATGCCATTTGAGGGTTGTTTGAGGTAGTACTAAGTGAAGTAATGTCATGTCTTTAAATTGTGAAGATAACGTTGTCATGATCATTTTATTGACTGTGATTCGGTCTTAAAGATCATCAGTTCAGATTTCTTGCAAGTGGTAATAAAGGGGAGATAACTTTTCCTTTTGAATTGATTCCATTGATATCGCCAGAAGTGCAGAATTTTCGACGTGGCCGGGAATATCGTAGGGGAATGAGATGCATTCCTATCGACTTGGAATCACAAAAGGTAGTTCTATAAATAGCATTTCGAAACTCGAAGAAAATCACAGTCCAAAAACATCAAAGAAAAATGGTTCTCCAATCTGAGGTCTATCCCGGTTACCCTTTCCCACAGCAGGGCTATTCTGTGCAACCGCAGGGGTACTACTCCACCAATGACTACTACAGCACCCCTCTTCCGGGCATGCCGGTGATGACCAACCCAAGTGCCCCCACCCCTAAGTACCCCAGCCACCAAATGGTAGCTGGTGGAGGCTATGCTCAGCAGCATCATGACTGGTATGGCGAAAAAAGGCCCCAAAATGGCATGCACGACACAACTGACTTCTACTACAGCCATGGCTCACAGGGCCAGATGTTGCCTTATAACAGCAACGACGGTTATGATTCCTCCGGTGGCAAACACAGCAACACCACGGGGATCACTGGGTACACGGCAAACTATGCACAACATGTTCCCATGGGAACGTACCCAAACTATGCGCAGCATGTTCCCATGGGAATAGAGGCAATGAAAGATGAGTACTCAAGTTGGGGTAACGAGCGTGAACGCTTCCCATTTTACCATCAGAATTCCTACAGCCAGCAAAATGGCTACCCCAAGGCAGAGTGGAACCTTAAAGGGGTGGATGACTAAAGAGACATCCCCATGAGACTGATGCATAATATAGGAAGTATGCTTAATGTAAGAGGTTTGGCATTAGCTAAAGTACCATCCTAAGTAATGTTTTTTTCTTTTTTTTGGATCAAATCCTAAGTAATGGTCAAGATGTATACTATCTGCTGAATGTTCAAGATATGTACCATATGGCCTATTAGATTTTAACTATAAATCAGTACTCAAGAACTGGATGCGTTGTCTGGGAGACCACTAATTACATATAAGGATTGTCATCATCCAAAAGAGGTCACTCTTAGTGACATATGCAGATGCTTATAGAAACCCACTAAAAGGAAAGTATGAAAACTTTTTTTAAAGTACCAAAAATCGTTTCAACTATGCTTTTTTTGGACTTGGAGTAGTAAAGCAAACCTCATATGGATGCAACATTTATTAAGCGTGGGTAAGGCTCCTAATTGAGGCGAGTTTTGCAAGAACAAATAAAGAATGAAAATAATATGTCATCATGTCATTTAGACTTTAAATTTGATCCCAAAATTTAGTCAGCATAACATTACTGTTTTACTAAACAAATTTAAAAAATTGTTTAATCTAAACGAGCCCGAATAATTTAATTATTTTACCTATAAATGAGTCGAGTTATGCTCATTTAAAAAACAAGTCAAACCCAAAATAAGTCAAACTCAAATAACTCGCTTTAATTATCAGCTCTAAACATATACGTCAGAAAAAACTTGATCGTAACAAATAATGCGAAACATGACGTGCAGCCGAGAGTATCTTGAAGAGTAACAAATAACAAGAACATCATCAAGTTTCATGAATTATAACATTTAAGAGTTGATTGAGCTTGTACTAAGTAAAGAAAAATAACATTTTTTTGGGTTAAATTTTCACTTTTTGGGGGGTAAAAATACCATTTTTGGGGTTAAATTACCATTTTTTTCTATGGTGAAGATTGTAAATTTTAGGTGAAAATACCGCTTTAAAGTTAAATTATCACTTTTGGACATTAAATTACTGTTTTTTGGGTGAAAGTATGACTTTTGAGTGAAAATACCATTTTTGTGTGAAAGTGTCACTTTTTGGGTGAAAATACTACTTTGTGGTAAAATTATCACTTTTTTGGATATCATTTTTAGGGTTAAATAACCACTTCTGTGATAAATTACTATTTTTTTTAGGTGAAATTACTACTTTTGGGTGAAATTTTTATTTTTTGGATAAAAATATCACTTTTTTGCTTTAAATTATGACTTTTTGTGCTAAAATATCACTTTTTTGGTGAAAAAACACCATTTTTATGGTTAAATTACCACTTTTTATGTGAAAAAAAAAAACTACTTTTTGGGTTTTGCAATTTTTGGCAGAAAATGTGACACCCCAATTTTTAGGGGTGATTTAATATGTTTTATGTAATTTATGTAACAAATAGACATAATTCATCAAATAAATTGAACAGTTGACGTACTTCGATTTAGACTAGACAATTAGAGCATTTATTTAATATCATAGTCTAAAAACTCAAATTATACATTCATCCCAAAAGAAGTCCATAATCGATACTATTACATCTCATCGGTTTTGAAAACACACCAAAGCAATAAAACACAAATCACAAATCTAAAATTTTTTTAAAATATAATATCTCGTAAGTCAACTGAGCACAACTCATCCTTAGATGCTTTCAATTAGGGCACGAGTGACCCCGCATCTCAACGGATGCTACGCTTGATCAAGACTTGTTTTGGGTCTTTCACCTTATGGAGGAACGATCCCCGCATGCTTGTCCCAATTTCAATTTGAGAATTATCATTTCATGTGTCTCAAAGTCAGTTGAGCACGCTAATCAGAATAATCACAAATGATTCATTTACCATCATAATAACAACTAAAATATAAATAATATAATCATGAATATGCATTTCAATATGTCTTCAACATGCTATGGTATACAAGTATATGCTACTCAAATCAATATACATATATATACACACACACACACAAACACACACACACATATATATATATATATCATGATTAACATTCTAACTAAGTGGAAGTGTACCACTCTTCATACATAATACTTCTCTTATAAATTTTCATATATATTAGTAGTTTAACTGTCATAAGTAACCACACTTTTACTTAAACAATGAATATATACCTAATTTTGTATCACCATGGGTGTAGTTTATAATTCCAAGAAAATATTATCTTAAAGGCCACACGAGATTTGGTGGTCTTTTCACATGGTTATAATTTTTTGGATTCATTCATGAATCTTTATGAACTTCATTACAATTAAAGGTCACTTTGTAATATTCAAAAGTATTTTATACTTATTGGGGTTAATGTATAATTTCAAAAACATTTCCTAACTACTAGAAATACTAATTTGGTGCTTTAGTAGTATTTTATAATCTTCTAGGGGCGTTGTGTAATTTTAACAGGTACCTACCCATTACTCATGAAACACAAAGAGGACTTTCTATAACTTGACAAAACCTTGAACTAATTTTGTAATTTCTACAAGTAGGTATGTGATGTATCTAAAACTAAGGGGAGAGTTTCTGAATTTAAGCCAACATGCCATTCATCTTGTCCAACGTCCAGACCTGCATCAGTAAGCTTCTTTCTCCCCCTTTTTTTTTTTTTCTTTCTCTTTCTGCCGTAAATTGTTTCTTTAATTCATTTCTTTCAAATCTAAAATTTCCTATTCATCACCAAGGACCTAGATTAGCTTTCAATAAATTTTCATCTCATTCCTTGATGAAATTCAAATACCCATTTGACAATTTCAATCATGCATGTATACGTGTATATATATATTCGAAAAGCACTTTTTGGGTTTTGCAATTTTTGGCCGAAAATACCGTTTTTTAGGTGAAAATACCACTTTTTAAGTTAAATTACCACTTTTTTTTGTGCAAATATTATTTTTTGGAGTGAAAATACCACTTTTTGGTGAAAATTTTTATTTTTTGGTGAAAATTTTTAATTTTTGGTGAAAATACCACTTTTGGGTTAAATTATCACTTTTTGTTCTAAATTACCACTTTTTTGGTGAAAATTGCATTTTTTTGGTGCTTAAATTATAACTTTTTTGGTTAAATTATCATTTTTTTTTTTGGATTAAATTACCATTTCTTGGGTAAAAATACCACTTTTTTTGTTAAATTATTACTTTTGGATATAAAATACCATTTTTTATGTGAAAATATAACTTTTTGGATAAATTACCACTTTTGGGTAAAAATACAATTTTTTTGTGTGAAATTATCACTTTTTGAGCGAAATTTTTACTTTTTGGATGAAAAACACCTCTCTAGGAGTTAGATTATCACTTTTTGAATGAATTTTTTTTTAGGTTACATTATCACTTGTTTATTAAAAATATTACTTTTTAGGTGAAAATACTAATTTTAGATTGAAAATATCATTTCTTTTTGGTGAAAATATTGCCTTTTTAAGTTAAATTATCACTTTTGGGGGTTAGTGATTCGTTTATTTGCCCGGGGTTCCGGGCTTGTTGAGTTTTTTTACCTAGTAATGGGGTACCTCGAATAACTTTGCCTGCCTCTACCTTGTCAACAGCTGTTGGGTAGAGTTTAAAAACACCCAAGTGTTAATCAGCATCACTTTATTTACGTAACCAATTAAATTTTAGAGTAATAATGTTATTGAGATTTAATTTATTAACTTAATTTGTTAATTTAATTAAATATAATATTTAGATTGACCGTAAAATCTATCAAATATTGGAATTTACTGTTAATCTAATGATTTTATTGAAATCACATCATTATGTCAACAAATTAGATCAAATTTTTAGGTTCAAATAAGATTATTCCAAATTTTAACTACAAATCAGTGCTCAAGAACTGGATTCTGGGACCTGGAAAGAATTGACAAGGCAGTTCCTAACCCGATTCATCACGGGGAGTAAGCGCCCCAAGGACATTGGATCATTGTTGACCCTCAGACGGAGGGAATCTGAGACTCTTCGCCAGTACGTCATCCGATACTGGGAAGAGGTCAATGAGGTCGAGGGATGCTCGGAGGTCATGGCAGCAGCATCTTTCCGGCTCGGCTTGGCGAGGGACACGGACCTGTACCGATCCCTGACCAAGAAGACTCCCTCGGATATGGGAGAACTGATGGTCCGGATCAACAAGTACTCGAGGGTCGAGGACGAGATGGGAAGCAACAAAGGCCGAGCCCTCCAATCCAAGAGAAAGGAGAAAGAGCGCGAAGACATTCCCCGAAAGGGATTGCTACCCCATCCAGGAGGTTCGTCCAGAGGAGTTCACACCGTCTTCAAGGAACCCATCTTCAGGTTGCTCCATAAAATCAAACACGAGCCGTTCTTCAAATGGCCGCCCAGGATGCAGAGCGATCCCTCCACCCGTGATCAAAAAGTTCGGTGTTCATATCACCGGGATGTCGGGCATCGCACCGAAAGCTGTAGGGTGTTCAAGTCATTCTTGGAAAGCTTGGTCCAAGACGGACATTTGAAAGAATACATAGAGCCTAGGCCAGAAGAGAAACGAGCCCTCGCCCCGACCGAGGAACCGGACAACGTCATAGACGTCATCCATGTATGTCCGCTGGAGCGCCCCACGTCCAAGGAGCTCGAGTCCGACCTCAAGAGGGTAGCTTTTACAAGAAAGGTAGCCGAGGGAGATGTGGGGCCATCAAGTAAAAGGGCCAGGATGGGTGAGCTTGGCATTACGTTCTCCGACGCGGATTTGACAGGCGCGGTGATTCCTCATAACGACGCCCTTGTCTTGACCCTAAAGATAGGGAAATTCGATGTCAAGAGAATTTTGATAGATTCAGGGAGCTCCTCGGAGGTGATGTACTTCGAGACTTTGAAGCGGATGGGCTTTGGCCCCAAAGACCTAACCAAAATCAGGACACCCCTCATCGGGTTCAACTGCTCTTTCGCCTTGCCCGTAGGGAAAATCACATTACCGGTCGCCACTGGTCCCTTCGTCATCGACACAGAGTTTGTTGTGATCGATACGGACTCTCCTTACAACGTGATTATGGGGCGAACATGGCTGCACGCGTTAGGAGCGGTGCACTCCACTCTCCACCAGAAGTTAAAGTTCGCCACGCCAGAGGGTATCATGGAGATCCGGGGGGACCAAGCGTCTGCGAAGAACTGTTTTTATTCGGCCGTCCGAGCCGGGGCGTCCAGCCAGGAGAAGGGGCGAGCACCGGAAGAGATCATGGAAAAATAGCAATTACAGTCCGGGCGTCCGGGGATGGATGACCCCCGGGTAGACCCAGCTGAACGGTCGGTTGAAGACCTCCGGAAGGTGCCCTTGATTGAGG